AGAGAGAGAGAGAGAGAGAGAGAGAGAGAGAGAGAGAGAGAGAGAGAGAGAGAGAATGCCCCATGCCAGGGTGCTTGTATAGAGCTCAGAGAACAAGACCAGGTATCAGTCCTCAGCTCACAGAGTATTTGAGATGGGGTCTCTTGTTGATCACCACTGCACAAGCCAGGCTAGCTTTCTAGGGACACTCCTGTCCTCACCTCCCATCTGGCCATAGGAGCACTGAGATAACAGGCATGCCCACTCTTGCATCTGACTTTCCTTGAGTTTTGAAGATTTGAACCTATTTAGTCGGGATTGTGTGGGAAACACTTTACCTATTGAACCATCTCCCCAGGTCCAAGTTCACGCTACTGTTGACAACACCCATCTCCTTTTCAAGAAAAAATCGGTTCTCTTTGGATAAAGCAACGTGATTCTCCATCTTTAAATGCTGTCTTTCTCCCTGGTCAGAATCAGTGTGCCACTGCGCTAGAGCTGGGTCCCAGAGTGGGGTTGTTTCGATCTCGGGTGTCTCCTCTTGCTCTGGTAGGTCTTATAGAGGAGACCAGGTTAAAATGAAACCAGCACTGTAGGCCCTATCCATCTGACAGACACCCTTATCAAAAGGATGGAGTTGGACAGAGCGATGGGTACACACAGAGGGAGGATGGTGTGAAGACACATGACGGGAAACCCACAAAAAGACAGATCAAATTGAGGGACACCGAAGATGGCTGGCGAATTGCCAGGCACTGGAAAGAAGTGGGAAAGATTTCCCTCGGGTTTCCTGTGGGCTCCTGGTCTTGGACTTCTTCCCTCCAGAACTAAAAAACAGCACCTTTCTGTCATTAGGTCTCCATTTTGTGATGCTTCATCATGGCAGCTCTGGGACTTGGGCTGTTTAAGGAGACTGACTGTGGTTGCATCTCCACAGCGCAGCCTGGGGGTGGGAGGAGGCAGGAGATGCTGGTAGTCTGCCCTCTGGTGGTGACACAGAGAGAGGGCGCCCGATCTTAATGGTCACACCCATGTAGAACAGAGTGGCTGGAGTTTGCCCCTCGTGGTGCTTGGGCCAGGACAGGGCAGCTGCAGTTCTAACACCAGAAACCCAACATTTCTCACAAGTTTGCTGATCTTCAATGAATCTCATGCCCTCTGAGCTATGTGCCCTTAGAGACTTTGATTGGCTGGTTCTAATATTCTCTCACTGGAGAGAGGGTCCCCCATGCTCCCTACACCATTTTTCTGGATGGGCAAGAGGCCTTAGTCAATGGCTTTTATTTCCTGGCACTTTCTCTAAAGACTCTATTTCTCCAGGCTGGCCCTCAGAGATGAAATGGTTTATTTAATTCAGAGGTTAAGTGTCAAAATATTGTAGGATCCTGGAGGCTCAGCAGCCTCAGGCCCAGGAAGACTGTATCTCCTCCCAGCCTTCCTGAAGGTCCTCCTGTCCTCAGAGGGCGAAGGCCTTCTGCCAGGTATCCCCCTCTTTGACCCCGCTGGCTCAGGGCACCGTGTTGTACACGCTGTAGTTGTCCTTCTGGGTGATATGAAGCTTCCATGAGAAGAGGCGCTTTTGGGAGGGGAGTCCTTGGGCCTGCCGCACCATAAGCCTCACATCTTCATCTGACAGCAACCGGACCAGATCCCCTTCAGCATCCTGGTAATTAAGGGCGATGTCCTCCCTCTGGAATTCACGCCTGGAGGTGACAGGTCATGGTTAGTTGGAGGAAGCACCCAGAGGGAACCCAGGGCCTTTGGGTCTAAGCAGAGGGAGGGAACTGTTCATAGCCTGAGTCTATGAATCACAGAAAGTCTAAGTGTGACACAGGCCTTCATCATCCAAGCAGCCCTACTACCCATCCTACAGATGGGGAAGCTGAGCCTTCAAGGGGAGAAGGAACTTTTGCAACACATTAGTGACACAGCTTGAAACGTACTTCAGATGAATGGGCTGAAGACTTAAAACTTGCTCAGAAGAGAGGAGATAGGCAGAGAGATCTCTGTGGTAACTGTCTGACACAGCTGGGCAGGAGTGAAATCTGAATTGACTTCCTGCATATCATGTGACCCAGAAGGCCCACTCTAATATACCATTTCTTGAAAATTATCTCAAGAAAATAATGAAAAAAGTCATCAAATATGTGAACGGAGAGTCACAGCACCATTAGTGATAACAGAACAGGAGATGGGCTGAGCCATCAGGGGCCTTGAGGATGGCAGGCGTGGCCAGGGACCTTGTTTGTGTATGCCTGTTCTGTGAGTTTGTTTGTAGTTTGTTTTGTGTATTTGTGTGTGCTTGTGCTGTGTGTTGTATCTATTTTATGTGCGTGTGTGTGCACGCGTACTTGCGTGTGTGTGTGTGTGTGTGTGTGTATGCTGAAGAAATCTGAATGCATGTCAGACAATGAGAGCAGTAAAAATATGGTTATAAACATTGCATTTTTATAACAAGTTTCATGGTGAGAACTATAACAACCCTATTATAGTTCTGTAAAATAGCTATTAAAATAACTTCAATTTAATCCCAACACTCAGGAGACAAAAACAGGTGGATCTCTGTGAGATCAAGGCCAGCCTGGTCTATATATCAAATTCCAAGCCAGCTGGGGCTACAGGAAAACCCTGCCTCAACAAATGAAAAGCAAACAAACAAAATAACCACCATAAATGACCCAGATCTTGGGAGGCGGTGAGTTTCCTGATTGAAAGTGTGTATTCAAATTCAAAACTTTTAGCTAGAGACATATAAGTTCTAACAGCAAATCTATAGTCACATGCTGTGTAACCTCATCTAAGACCTTCTGCCCCCCTGCCTGCTTCTGGCTCCCCTGTAAGTTACTGTGAGACCGCAGGGTGGGACTGACTGCACAGCGGGAAGACAGAACTACATAACACCCAGTGCTGTTTGCCCGTGGCCTCCCCTTGTTCCCTGAGGCTCAGGTGTGCCTCCCTCTGTTCTCCCCTGAGACTTCCTTCCTGCCCCCCTACCCTGGCCTCTCACCTCGTGAGTGCTAGCAAGTCTTTGAAGAGTGGGGTGCTGTTGAGGTCTTCTTCCACTTCAATGTCCCTAAGGGGGAAAGTCAGGGAGAGAAAAGGCATCAGACTGGACAGTGAACATGCTTGGGGCCTAGGAACAAGCTGGCTCTTGCCATATAGCACTGTGCTTCATTGGGAACGCAGTGGGAGCCACAGCAGGCTATAGAGTGGAAGAGGGCCACCATGGTAGTGTGTGCAAGAAGGGTGGGCAGGTCCATCCTCCCAGCAGGCCACCAACTTGATGGTCTTGATAGTGTCTTCGTAGTAGTAGCAACGCAGCCAGTTGGTGGGGTCGTCCTCCTCCGGGAAGTCCTTGAGGATCTTCACAAAGGAGCCTGGGAAGATGCCTGTGGTTCCCTGGACTGTGCCCTGCAGAGGAAAAGAGGGAGCCATTTGGTCTGGAGATGAGGCCCAGGGCTATGCCTCAGAGCTCCACACTCTTTATTCCTACAGAGGCCCATGTGTTAAAGGCTCAGCTCCCAAAGTGGCACCACTGGAAGGTAGCTGGCCCTTTAAGAAAGGAGGTAGTGGGATCCTCTTCCATCACTGGGGAGAAGGTCCCCTTAAATGGATCAGTACCGTTTAAGGTGACACTGATCCTTTTCGTCCTGTTTTCTGATTGATTGATGATTGATTGATTAATTACTTCCTGGCCATAAAGTGAGAGTTTTGTTTGTATGACCACAGCATCCTACCATGATTGGGCACAAGCCAAAATCATAAGGCCAACTGAAAACGAATTGGAGCCTCCAGAACAGTGAACCAAAAGAAACTTTTTTCTCTTACCTCGGGTGTTTTGTTACAGTAATCAAAGCCAACTAACATAGAGGAAAAAGAGGACATTCATCAAGCTATCCATCCCAGAAGACCTGCATTTTGGTCTTGGGAAAATTCTGAACTTCTCTGGAAAGTTGCTTGCATCTCCCATCTCTCTGCCTCCCTTCCTGCCTCCTTCCCTCCTTGTTTTCATTCAGCAAAGACTTCCTAAGCACCACCACATGCAAACTCTGGGCTCTGGAGCTAGACAACACCCTCATGGAGCATTCACGGCAATGGAGGATGACACACAGACAAACAGACCGACTGGACAGTGGGTGGATAGCCACATGTGTGAAGGAGGAAAGCAGAAGAGATGGGGAGGGGAGGAGGGGTGTGGGGAGGCCTGCAGGAGCCTCCTGTGCCTTCTCAACCCTGCTTGCCACTGAGCCTGTGCTCTGGATAGAAATCTAGTCTTCCAGCCCAGTCTCCACTATGTGCAGGACCAGGACCCTGTCCCTGTCTGTGTCACACATGTGATCACTTAACCTTCATAACTATGAGGCAAAAGATTCATTCGTGTGTGTGCATGTTCATATGTGTGTGTTCATGTGTGTGCATGTGCATGTCTGCATGTGTAGGTCAGAGGACAACTCCAGGTTGTCTCTACATTTTTGTTTTTAGACAGGATCTCTCACTGGCCTGGAACTTGCTAATTTGGCTAGGTTAGCCAGCCAGCAAGCCCCAGGGATCCACCTGTCTCTGCCTCCCCAGTATTGAGATTATGAGCCACTGTAAGGGACTAAGCCCCAAGTAAGCAAATGGGGTCACTGAGAAGTAAAGGTGACACATTCCTGCTTCTTCTTAAATACAGGTTCTATGGATTAAACTCAAGTGGCTCCTGTAAACAGCCATTCTTCCCATGTCACTGGACAGACATTCAGACTGAGGCTCCCTTTCCGGCCCCTTGCCCTTCCTGTAGCCTGAGGAGCGAAGATGACCACATCCTGGCCCTGGAGGGTTTTCCAGAAAACAGGAAGGTGGAAAATCGATTCCCTTATGAGACGGTGACCACAGCTGCCCCCTCAGGGGCTAAGAGAGTTGCTGGGCTTCCAACAGTCAGCTCCAGGAGGAGGATGAAGCTGAAACAGATCAGTGTCCAAACAGGTTGCTACTAGCTTCTCTCCAGCCTGGGGAACACCAGGGACCCTGTGTCCATCAGCCTCGTCAGAGCCTCCTGAAGACACAGTGAGGGGCACTGAGTTGAGAATGTCATTAGCAGCAATCATATCTGATAAAGAAGGCTGGCCCAGACCAAGGACCTGGCATGCATTACTCAGGGGCCCAGGTCTCTGCAGGTCCCTTGCACACACTAGGCTCCAGGCACCATGACTCTCTGGGGACCAGACTTGTACATCCGCCTCTCCCTTACCCCTGCCAGGAACTAATGGAGAAACCGTCTGTGTTTTCGCCATTTACAGGAAAGGAAACCATGGGGTTGAGCAACCTCCCAAAGTGCAAAAGGCCAGCTAAAACCAGCTAGTAGACAAGCTGGACACGCAGTGCGAGGGCTCACGCTGTTTCTGTTTTTGTTTTGCAGTAATGGGGACGGAACCCAGGGCCTCACACAGTAGGCGAGCACTCCTCCACTGAACCACTTTGGCTGTGGGCGCCTGTTCGTAATTACACTCGCTGCCTGACAAGGATCTGCCTAACGTCATCACATATGAATCCCATTTCTTAAACGGGGGGATTTTGACCCAGAAGCAAATGGCTAAAGACTTATGTTATTGTCCTGACTGAGAGTGCTGCTGGTACCTAGTGGGGTGGTCAGGATGCTGCTGAACACCCTGCCCTATACAGGAAGACACCCAAAGTCTGAGTGCTGAGAAGCCTTGTTGCAGAGCAAGGAATTAAACAGTAGGTGAGCCAGTGAAATGGCTCGGTGGGTAAAGAGGCTTGCCACGAAGCCCAAAGACCTGAGATCGATCCCTGGGACCCATATGTTGGAAGGAGAGAACTGACTCCTGCAAGTTTTCCTCAACCTCTCTACATGCACCATGGCATGAATGCTTGTTCTACCAACACACCTGGTTGCACAGTGCCTGTGATCCCACAAGTTACCAGGACCTGCTGGGACCTTGAGGACAATAATAGAGGACATCTGCCCTTAAGGCTTCCCTAGGTCTTCCAGAGTCTGCCCCACCCAACACACCGAATGGCCTCGCTCCCACCTTGCGTCCATCCTCTACCTCCCCCTCCCCCTCCCCCTTCCTCTCCGTCCTCACTTTCATTATCTCATCTATACACTCTCCACCCTCATCCCCAACTCACTTCCAACCAGTCTTTGTTGATCCTACTGAGAAGGAAGATCACATCTCCAGCTTTGAAACTCAGCTCCAGTTTGCTGTTCCCAGTGAAGTCAAACAGGGCCTGAGGACAAGGATGAGGTGCTGAGAGAAAATACCTATGATCACCTAAAGGGCTCAGTTACTTCAGTGTCCCTTTTTATAGGTAAGGGAATTGAGGCTTGGGTAGTGTACTGAGACTGTCCATCTTAGTGGAGGAGCCGAGATTAGAACCCAGCTCTCCTCAACTCCAGAATGTGTGATCCTTGCAGAGTTGGTAGGGTATACATACAGGAGGAGGGGACAAATTCTGAACCAAGCTCGTCTTACTCCCCTGCACACCCGCCTCCTGTACCCAGCTTCAGGCCTCCTGTACCTAGCTTTTCTCTAACAGGGCTCTATCCACACTGGTTTTGAAATGTCATCTGTGTGTCTCCAGGGGTCTGTGTGCTCCTGGAGGACAGGCCCTTGTCTGAGGCTTCAGCCCACAAGGTAAGGCTGGTCCAAGGAGCCCAGCAAGCTCCCTGGATGAGCTGGTGGATGGTCGCCTCCTCCCCTGCCTGTGTGCCGTGGATGAGGCCAGTAAGTACCTCTGCTCTCGGAGCCTCCATGCGGTCAATGTTGGTGCCTTGTGAGGTTATGCCCTTACTGTGGAGAGAGAAGAGGGGCTTTGAGCCCCTGAGGATTTCCTCAGGGGCTCAGAGCCCTAGCCAGCACAGGAGAGGCTGGGAAGGAGAGGTTCTGTGCAGCTGCTAGCCACAGTTGCTCCTCACACAGTCCCTTATCCTGCATCCCCACCACCACCCCAGGAGGCGTTGTTCTCCCATGAAGGACCCAGAGGCAGAGCTCAGAGAAGTGGTGGAGAGGTCTGTGGCTCAGTGCCTTTAACTCCTTGCCAACCTTTCACATCTGTCATCAGCTTGGCTCCCCACAGCCAGCCTCTACTCTCATGTGACTATTCTATTTCAGCCCAGGAAACTGAGGCTGGGAGTGCCCAACCAGCTGGAATTCAGACTACACCTGCCTGGGTGCACAGAGAGGTGTTGGGCACCGAGGAGCGAAGGGCACAGAGGTCCTGGCTGGAAAGAAGAGGGGCACGGCAGGGGGGTCAGGCCTAGAAGCGCTGTCTGTCTGTCCTGGTCTTCTCACAGAGGTGGCCTCGCTCTTAAGTCAGCGCCATTTGGCCATCTAGCCACGGGGCTTGCCGGGTTATTTGCAGCATAGGAAAGAGTGAGGAGAGCTAGTGCTGGACTTTTTGGAGTCAGGAGCAGCAGCGACCCCTAGGGGCCAAGGATGGGGTACCCACAGCTGTCAGGCCCAAGAGCTATGACATCCCCCACCCCTGCCTGCCCCCACAAGCATCTGGAGGGAAAGGAGGAAAAAGAGAGTTTGCATCACTTCCCTTCTTTCCAGGCCAGACTCTGCCCCAGCACCCAGAGCTCTCAAGCCACCTCATTGCTATGACACTGAACCCTTCTGGGCCAACATCCCAGACCCCATTCTCCTAGTCTTATGACACACAACAAACCACATCCCCTCTGCGCCCCCAGGCCCTGAGCTTGGCCCTCTAAACACCTAGGGACAATGGGTGCCTTTACTAGCAGGGGCTCTGTTACTGGCTGGAAGCGGGCACTGTGGGGACCACTTACACTTTGCGTGTGCGTGGGCGGAGCCGGCGGAGGGCCTGAGGCACCTGCTCCGCATCATAGGCGGTCTGGTAGAAGAAAATTCTGACATCAGGGTCCATCAGCACCCAGACCGGCAGGCTGAGGAGGTTCTGTGTGGACAGGGACAGCAGGTGGATGGTCAGCAGAAAGATTTAGACCGCCCTGGCCACTTCTCCATTTCTGTTAATGTATCCTCAGCCCGGAGATAAAAATGAATTTTTGACCCTCAGTAGGCGTAGGGGACAGATCCCAAGATGAACAGGGACGCCTGATCTGGAATCACCGAAAGGTCTCTAGAGACATCAATAAAGGACTGACTGTGCCAGGCACTTGGGTAAGCACCACATGACAGCCCATAATAATCTGGGGCTAGGGTTAGAAAGGGAAGGGACCTCCCCAAAGCCACATAGCTTAGCAAGTGATGGAAGTAGGGCATTAGAGCCACCAGAAGTGCTAAGGTACCCCTCTGCTCAAGATGAGACAGACACGGACTCACCAAATAACCAAATTAGTTGAGTGACTTTACCTGTCTGTACCTCTGTTTCCTCATTTATAAATGGAGACCACAGTATCCAACTCACACATTACTAAGGGAATTGGATAGTCTTATTCATTTATCCAATAAATACGTTAGTTCATGTCACAGTTGGGGAAACTGAGTCTTTTTTTTTTTGAGACAGTGTCTCATGAAGCCTAGGCTGGCCTCAAATTTGCTGTGTACACACAAGAATGACCTTGAACTTCTGATCTTCTTACCTCCATCTCCAGAGCGCTGGTATTACAGGTATGTGCCACCACACCCACTTTATGTGGTGCCGGGAATCAAATCCAATGTTTCATGCTGGACAAACACTACCAACAAAGCTACATCCTGAGCTTAGAAACTGGGTCTTAAAGAGGGAGAGTGCCTGGCCCAGGGGCGGCAGATCTGTGAAGGGGACAGGGTGAGGGGCTTGTGCCTTGGGTCCCCTCTCCACCTCATGTTGGTATACTCAATGTGATGCAGACCCTTAGGCCATGAAGGCATGGAACATGGGAGCCTGGCAAGGCTACCCCCAAGCCCTTCAGGGCTCAGGTACCCCAGAAGTGCCAAGGTCAGCTTTGGGAAGCTGCAGCTCGAGGCACCCTGAGTTCTGCAGAGAATCACTAGAACGCCGCAAGATGGCAAGGGACTGAGGACTCTGTCCTGAGGACTTGAAAGCAGAGCCTGGAGACATGGCTGTCATCCAAAGCAGGCAGTGGGGACCTAGAGAGGTGGCTGTCATCCAGGGCCAGGCAGTCAGGAGGGACAAAGGAGCCAGGCTGCTCGCCCAAGGAGCCAGGCTGCTCTTGCAGTGGAACCACAGCTCAGGAATTCACCAGCCTGGTGACTTTGGGCGTGGCTCCTGATACTGACAGGAAGGACAGTAGTATTTCCTTGGCAATACTGTGTGAAGATTACATGATTAAGTCAGGGAGGCAGACATATAGACAGCACCAATGACCATTGGACGCCATCGCTTCTGCCATTACTTTTGTTAAAGCAAACTGTAATAAGCTGATAACTTTTGTTAGCCCAGTGAGTGAGTGCTCAAACCCTGAAATTAGAGAGGCATGAGTTCAAATCCCATCCTCCTGCCTAGCTGCCTTGTGACGTGGAGTAATGCCTCCATTTCCTCATTCATAAATGGGGACCACAGTATCCAAACCATAAGCTATTGAAGGGATTAAATAAGATATTCATTTATCTATAAAAAGTGTCCCAAGGGCCTCTGACTGCCAAAGTACTACACAGGATTCTGGACAGCTGTTACCAACAGAGGGATGCATTGTAGGTAGATGTGACAGAGAGCTGGGCTTTTCTGACAGTTGTCTAATGATGGTACAGCAGCCTGGGCCAGGGCAGAGTGGTGGTGAGCTCCCTGTCTCTGATGGTGTGTAAACACAGAATGTTATTGACATAGCAGAGCCCTGCATTGACCTCTGGCCAGCCCATACCTTCATGTAGGCGTTGAGGGCAGGGATCCGTGTCTCAGCGATCTCCTGTTTCACACCCATGTAGACTTTGGCTGAGAACAGAAAAGCTGTTTCAGGTATCTGATCCTACATGACACCTGTGCTCCAACTGACCCCGAGGCTGAGTAACCAGTTGGAGCTCCTCCCTCCAGCTTAAAGTGCTTCCCTCCATCTGCCATGGTACCAAAGTGGTATCAGGGCACCATCCAACTGCATCTCCTAAGCACACCATTACCAGCAGGTGGGGTTCTGTCTGTGTAGTACCTGTTCCTTCACATGGGCACACATGTGTCATGTATGGAGACACTCACACACTTATGTTCATTCATACAGTACATGAACACTGTACATCTGTGAACATGAGCACATGCAAGCACACATGCTTAAACATATGCAGATACACCCTCACTCACACAGCACAGAAAGACCCCTCCAAACCCACCCCCCAGCAGCCACCTGGTGGCGATAGGCTTTCTCAAGTAGGCATCCTGGGCAGCACAGGAGGTTTGGCGCTGGGGGTGGGGGCACTTGGGAAGGAGTAGGGAAGAAGGTCGGGAATTGGGGTTAGGGGGTGTGTCCTGGTGGAGGAAGTTCCTCCATCAGATTGGCCTGTGGGCATGTCTATGGGGCATTTTCTGGGCATCCTGGGCAGCACAGGAGGTTTGGCGCTGGGGGTGGGGGCGCTTGGGAAGGAGTAGGGAAGAAGGTCAGGAATTGGGGTTAGGGGGTATGTCCTGGTGGTGTTTTGTCAACCTGGTACAAGCTCTAGACAACTGGGAAGAGGGAACCTCAAGGAAGTTCCTCCATCAGATTGGCCTGTGGGCATGTCTATGGGGCATTTTCTTGATTGCTAACTGATGTATGAGGGCCCATCCCATCCTGGGCAGTGTCATCTCTGGGCAGGTGGGCCTGGGCTATGTAAGAAAAGTAGCTGAGGAGCTGGAGAGATGGCTCAGCAGTTAAGAGCACTGGCAGCTCTTGTAGAGGACCTGA